CTTGCCCCCTCTCCCACCCACAGAGCTACTCCAGCCCTGCCAGGCCGGGCCTGCTGCACTGTAGGCTGCTCAAGCCAGGCCGCATTGCACCACAGATAGGTTGGAGCTGTTCCAGCCCAACTGGCCTGGAGTACTTCCAGCCCGTGGCACCAGCATGGCAAGCCCAGGAAGGCTGGAGCACCTCTTGTCCACCAGAGGTGGACCCATCAGGCAGGGGGGCTGCTCCATCCTAGCCAGGCCACCAGTTAACTGGTAACTAGTAACCATCACCTAGTAAGAGTGATGCTTACTGCTTAATCGGTGACATCCCTACTACCTTCCTCACCAGAGGGACTAACACCAACACCTACCATTATACCATCGAGAAAGAGACAAATAGTCATCCATTGACATTAATAGGAAAACACTGACTATCAGCATAAGAAGGCATTTCCCCCTCTCTGAACAAACATGAATCATCACAATAGGAGAAGAAAAAAGGGGGAAGGGGAAAGCTTTTTAAATGGTGGCATGAAATTATTGCTTTCATCCAGAAACTGACACACAATCATTTGGCAGGTACTGTCCTTGAAGCCCTATATCCACTCTATAAGGGCACGTTTTTCTTTCTAAAGAAGATAAGTAAATGCGGCATGAATTTGCATATCTTCTTCCAATAGCTTTTTCAAAAGAGGTTTTTTCGAAAAAGCAAGCAGTCTAGACGCAGTTCTTTCGGAAAAAAACCCTTTTTTGAAAGAATGCTGTAAACTTCATTTTTTGAGAAAAGTTCTTTTGAAAAAGGGTTTTTTTTCCCCCCAAAAGAACCACATATAGACTGCTTGCTTTTTAAAAAAAAAAACCCTTTCGAGAAAGCGATTGAAAGAAGATATGCAAATTCGCACCAAATTTGCATATCTTCTTTCTAAAGAAGAACATAGTCTAGACGTGCCCTAAGAGGGGATACTTGGGGAAACTTTAAAGTCTATGCGTAATTTGTATTAGAAAAGAGAGTTTATGTTTATTTGCCGTGCAACTTTAATATATTTGCTATTCCATACTATTTTATATTTGATTCTGTGATTTTTTTATTTTTACCCAAGCTGGTATCAGGTGTGCCAACAGTCTGGAGTGCATGTGCCGAAGTAATGTAGTGTCTGGAGGAGTGAGGGGCCAGATTTCACACCTATGGGGTGGGAGAGACAAATCAGAGAAAAGTCCAGGTTTCTAGTACTAAAGTACACAGGGTGGATGGATTTGGGAATACTGTTGGTGGTACTCTACAACAAACGTAACAAACCTAAGGTGAGACCTTGTGCTTATGAGCAAACTACTGGTGTCAAGGATCTGAACCAAAGCTGCACTACATAAATATACCCAAACTTACAGAGCAGATACTTTTGGTAAATCGCTTATTGGTTCAGGCAATACCCAAAATATCACAGAAATAATGGATACAAGAGTTGCACACAAAATCAGCGAAGTGAGATTCACACTCCAAACATTTCAAAACACACCCTAAACAAACTGAAGAGTGAGGGGACAAAGTACAATCTTATAGTTTGTTCTTTTTTTTACTTTAAGTTAAAAGTAATACAACAAGGAAACGTAGAAAATGAATGAATCAGTTAAGAGTTCCTGCATGATCAGCCTAAATATTGGAGGGGAGGGTGCAGATCAGTGGTGTGAAAAAGGAATTTTATTTTAAAGCTACTACTAAAATATCCTTTTTTAAAAGTGTTTCTTCTTACCAATACTGTGGAAATGCCATCGATAAAATATCCTCTCTGGTAGCAGCTGTAATATTTTCTGCAGAAAACAAAACTAAACAGTTAACTTTTCCATAATTAGGTCATACAGAGAATCTTGTGGAACAGTTGATGTGTCCTTCCAAGCCAAACATGAATTAAACAATACAAAAGCAGACATCTACAGTAACAAGAATTGCTGCCCACTCTTGCTCTTTCCATAGATATATATAACACATATTTTGGACATTAACTACATTTGTAATTACATTTTTAAAAGTATCACCATCAAGAAACTATTTTTTAAAAAATCCATTGTTTTAGAAAGGATCCAAATCCTAATATTTCAGAGCACAAATCAACTTCAAACTGAACGATTTAGAAGAAACTTCATCTATGGTCAGACTATTCCAAAACTGTACACTTTAGGGTTTTTAATACATTCTTTTGAAGCACTGGATAACACTGTCAGACACAGGATATTAACCAGATCTGAGCAAATCTTACATTCTATGGATCAGAAGGGTAATTAACTTGTGTGCTTCTACCAAATATTAGCAGATCCACCCTCAAGCAGTCCTAAAGGTATTATAGTAAGTACTCTTATAGAGAACTGATTTACCTGCACTTTCATCTGCTGAGTGCAACTGATCAGAATCACTCATCATTACATTAATTACTCCACAGTAGATGCATTTGGTGAAGTACTCATGTGAAATAATATGCAGAGGTCCTCCTCTATAGCTTTGGGATGACTAGACTATGAAAGACAAAGATCAAGCCAAGGAAGACGGAAAGACTTGACCACAAACCGCAACTTTGGTATTCTATATGGTCCCAATAAATCAAAACAATTAAGCACATGCTTAAATACTTTGCTAAATGGGGGCCTATAATCATGGTTAGAAAAACAGCTATGGCCATAAAATTTTGCTGTTTGCCAACCCACTGAATTATAATGCTATAAAGCAATTTGTGTGAATCACTGAAACTTTATTTGGTTATTTTTACATTTGGTAAAAAAGCTTTTTCCTGATTTTTAAATATAGTCCAAGCCAATGTGGCCAACTTGCAATTAAATGACTTTTATATGTAAATGAATTATAGGCTGATAACCAACAGAAAGGTAACTCTGGCAATCAATTGCTAATTTGCTGCTGCTGAAGATATAAAAGGATCAAATTAATACAAAAAATGAATATGGATTTCTTTTTCTTTTCAGAAAACTTTTCAGCTGCTGAGCAATGAATTTTAAGAAGAGATTAAGAATCCAAAAAGGAAATTAGTTTTAACACTAATTTTAAAGGTAAAATAATGATTTCTAAAGAAACTGACAATACTGTTTAATCACACAAAACAATAGAAACAAACTTTCACAAAACTTAAAGTATCAGCAGATCTTAAGAAAAATACATGCAGGATGTAAAATGAGTGACAATTAATAATGTATGCAACTGTGACCACTTGTTGGTCTTTAAAGACTTTCAAGAGGAATTAAGACAACACAGCCAAGCGGACAACACTTCACATTTTAGTTATTTCTTCACAGAAGGCCAACAAGTGAGCCATTATTGCTGTGTTGGAACGATATGCTAAAAAATGGATTACGACAGAATAAATCCTATTGGGAAACAATGTGTTTCAGAAATTGTCTACAGTACTCCAATGAGTGTCTCTGAAAATGGAACATTCTTTTCTTCATAGCAGAAAATGATAGCCATGGCAACTTCATAGACATTGAGAACTAGACCTCAGGTCACATCTGTTTTCTACAGCACTCAGAGTAGGGAAAAATTCCTCGTTATAACATTAGCATGAGAGTTGTACCACAGACAGTATTAAAAATCTTCATATAGTTAACTCAGAACAGAAAGTAAGTCTTAGATAACTCTTCTATGTTCATCATTGTACTTTGCTTCAACATAATCCCCTTAAGTCTTTCCATAAGCTTTCACCTGGGGCTTACATTGGCAGCAATGGCTAACAATAATTATCCTGAAAATCACATGGCCAGATGTCTAGGTCTCTGTGTATAGGCAAAGTAAATGTACTTGGAATGGAAAGATCTGACTGGCTAAAAATGAGGTCATGATTTAAAAATGTGGGGATTTACCTGTTAGTTAAGGACCATGTTTCTGCCAATCAGATAGCAAGATATATAAGGATATAATAATTATCCATCTACAAATTAAAATAGGAGCCCTGTACCTTTCAACACTATCATTGACATTATTCACTAACCTCAGATTTTTACAGCTCTAAATTGTGATTTGTGTGTGTGTGTTTTCATTCTAAATTGTACAATGGTACATGTACCAAATAAAAAGAGTTAAAAAAATGCTAAACTTTTCATGCATTCCAATAAATGTTAGATACAACTGTATATGCACAGTGCATGGCAAGAATTCATGGCTTTTAAAAAACAGAAAACCAAAACCAAACTGGCTACAAAAATAACAACAAACTGATTAACACTCAGAATTTATCTTTTGAAATGGCTCCAAAGTGGAAACTGACCACAAGGAAATATTTTAAGAAATACTGATATTTATTTACGTCACAAAAATTATATGCATTGGATCATTAACAGAAAATTGATTTTGCCATATATTTCACATTCTTTCTGAGAATCTGTAATCTGCTCAGGAGTTCTTGGATATAACATACTCTAATATTAAAAAACCCACCAGTCTCAATACCCGAGTTTTTATACCTCTGAAAAGGGTCAATGACCTTTTTCTGTAACAACCTGTTCAAAGACTACATATGACATAAGATTTTAAAATGCATCACATGCTGTATTATACAAAGAAGTGTAAAGTGTTAGGTTGTAAGGCAACACAATGTAGGGATGTAAAAAAATGTAAATGGGCACATAATGAAATACAGATAAATTGTAAATAAAACTCCCAAGTGCATGAACAGTTGCAGTATGTAGCATACTAGGTAAGTCTTATAAATATATGGAATTATTGATATTAAAGTAATAAATATCTGAATATAATCCGATGCACAAATTACATAAAACAGTATAACAACAACTTCAGATATAGAACAAAAAAGTACATGAAAAACAAAAGTTGCTTGCATGGAAATGCTCTCAAGAAAATGTAATATATAATATAAAAGCAAACTGTTTCTAAAAAATAGTATTTTAATGGGTGGACTGTAAATGCAGAATGTGGAAGAAAAATAAGACTAGTTGTAAAGAATGTTAAGAATACCCAAAGAGTCAAGGATGAGCAGCTCTTTGAATGTAGCTTATTCTTTCACCTTTCAGCAACCTCAAAATCATAAGAGCAGCCATACATGGTTGATCTAAACCAGTTCCCTGGTTTCCAACAATGTCAGGTGTCCCAGAAAGAATGGCCACACAATTTTCAAGATGTGAGTGCACCACTGATTTATAGACGCAATAAGATATTTTCTGTCTTATTATCTATCCCTTTCTTAAATGATTCCCAACATTGTTTGAAACAATGTCTGTGATTTGTGAAAGTAGCATATCAGATCAATATAAAAGGAAAGCACTCTCTGAATATACAGAATATATGTAGGATAGCATGCTCTAATGAAGCATGAGGCTTTGGGTAAAACGTAGGGAGAACGATATCTTCGTTAATGTGGAAATCGGAGCAGACTTCAGGCAAGAAGAACAGTTGAATTTGACGGATGACCTTGTTCCTATGGAAGACAGTGTAGGGTAGTGTCACTGTAAGAGCAGCAATCTCACTAACTCTTCTCGCTGATGTGATCACTACTAAGAATACTGTCTTTGTAGTCAATAGTAAAAGTGGGCATTCTGACATGGGTTCAAAGGCGGTTTGGTTAATGTATTGGGTACTGACTCTAAGACCCATGTCAAGGTGCAAGGTCTGCGTGAAGGATTAAGGCTATGCATCCCTTTAAGGAACCTTCTCGTGATGGGGTGTGCAAAGACCAAGAACCTGTCAATTGGGGGGGGTGGAATGCTGCCAGCACAGTTAAGTGTACTCAGAGAGGAGACTGATAGTCCTTGTTGTTTCAGATGTAGGATGTAATCAAGGATAGTATGAAGAGGTGCGGTAGATGGTTCAATCTGCTTACTCGTGCACCAGGCTGTAAAATGCTTCCACTTGTAGAGATTAGTATTACGCATGGTCTGGCATCTACTGTGGAGTAAAATATCCTTTACTTGTTGTGAGCATATTCTCTCTGTTTCTGAGAACCAGAGAGGAGCCATGCCATCAGGTGCAGTGTTCCCTCTAGGTTCACGCCTGTGTGGGTGTGCACCAACAATTTGAGGCCCACCCACCTTCTCAGAAGAGCCGTGCAATACCTGATCAGCTGTTCTGGGGCAGGGCTGTGTGGTGGGAGCCTGTTCCACCCCAGGAGCAGCAGTAGGGCAGCCGCCATGCAGCCCTGAACCTAGCGTCAGCCCTTCCCCAGGACTGGGACTACGGGCTGCATTGCAGGCAGCTCATCCTCCAGTAGCCCTGTTGCAGGCAGCTGCCCCTCCAGTAGCCACATTGCAGGCCGCTGCTCCTCCAGAACTACGTTGCAGGCAGCTGCTCCTAGAGCTGCCCTGACCGGGGCCAGAGCTGCAGCTATGTTGCGATTGGTCAGAGGCTACTCCTTCAGCAGCCCCAACTGGGGCCAGGGCCTGAGCTGCCTTGTGGGTGGCTGCTCCTCTGGCAGCCCCAGCCAGGGCCAAGGCCTGGGCTTTGTGATGGGGAGGCTGGGTCTGCTCCAAGCAGCCGGGGTAACGATGTAAAAATAAAAAGAGGTGGAGAGGGGCTGGAGAATGAGGAACAGACAGTAAGGGGTGGGGTCAGGTTGAAAAGGGAGGGGAAGGAATTTACATTTAAAAATGAAAACAGGAAGGAAAGAGAAGAGCCAGGGACAGAGGATAAAACAAGGGGACTTCCCTTTGCTAGATGCTCATAGTTCAAACATATAGACAATGATTTATAAAACAACTGAAATTAAATTTTATTTCCATAAAATACTATGGAAGAAACAAATGCATACTGGATCAAGGAATCTTTGCATTCTTCTCTCAGAGAGCTTTGAAGCAAGGCA